TAATATGTTCCATATTAACTAATAAAGATTTACAGCGTATAAGCAATTTACAAAAAAAAAAAAAAAAAAAAAAAAAAGATTAATTTTTGTAATCTAAATTTATAATTTATTTAGATTCAATATTTTATAGGCAGTGGTGGAATCCATATAATTAAAAAGTCTCTATATTTTGGAAACATTCAAGTAAATAAAGAAGAGTGTGATTGTTTGGGAATCAAAATTTGTCAATTTACTGACCCTTCACTTATAAGTATTGAACACAATGAGGTTAATGTTGAATCATAATTGTGGAAGAAAATCAAAACATTGATTCTAAAAAAACTCATATTTATATATAATTATTATTTTTTTTATATATTTTAATAAAAATTATATACTAAAATTAGTCTTTCAAATGCAGTATATATTTGACTGCTAAAGATACTTCTTGTAAATTTAAATATAATAGTAGAAGTATATATACTAGAAGTCCAATTTTATGTAAATCATGTATTTCTCAGGATATACAAAATGTATATCAATAGTTTATTGGCTGTTCAATGTATTGTATTGGAGATCAATAGCATTGTTACATTAAAGTTAATAGTGAATAAGTTGATATTATACTTTTTCATGATTTACTTCTTGGAAAAGAAAAGGTATTTTTTAATACTATATAAACTATATGTTTATATAAATAATTAATATACATATATATTAATTTAATTTATTATGTTATATAAATACAAGAAGAATTACCTTATTGTACAACTCTATTGCATCGATCATCTAAAAGAAAAAAATGTAATATGTAATAATTTATATTTTTTAATATATTATTTATTTTAATTATTTATATTGTATAATATGTAATTTAGATTATATTCATTAGTTATCTAATGGAATTATTGATTGTGGAGAGATTATTCAAAAGTATTGCCTAGTAAAATTTTATAAATTTATATTATGAGATTTTGAAGCTTGTCCATTTGTTGCAATAGTATGTGTTGGAACACATAACCATCCACCTCCACCCTCTAAAAAAATACCTGTTGATATTAAATTAAGAAGTTTAATATGCTTCGCACCCATGTGGTAAGGTTATATATCGCACCTTAATATGATTGGCTAATTTTGCAGATCATTATTTATAAAAAAATAAACAAATTTTGATTAATTTTCTTTAGATTAAAACTAACTTATAAAAAATGAAGAAAATAGTTAAAAGTTTTTTACACTAATATGCAAAATTTAATGCTGAACAAGTTTAATTAGAAACAAAAAAGACATTGATATAATAAAATCTAGAGAAAATATAAAAAATATACAAAAAAATATGAAAAATGCAAATATCTTTAAATTTTATTATGCTAACCTTTTTAAAGTTTCTAAGTAAACTTGTTCAGCATCAAATTATCAAATTTTGCATATAAGTATAAAAAATAGTAATATTTTTCTTGATTTTTCTATATGATTTCTTTAATCTAAAAAAAATAATAAAAAATTGTTTTTTTTACAAAATAACAATCTGCAAAATTAGCCAATCATATTTAAGTGCGATATATAAGTATATCGCAGGGTGCGAGATATGCATTTATTCTAACAAAAAAGCGCTCACTAATGAATATCTAAATATTATAAGTAAAGTGTTTTGACTTCAATAATTAAACCTATAGTATCGCTCATTTACTACTTTAACAAAAAAAATCAGATCCTTAGATGCAGTACTTGGCTAAAAATCTTGATCTTTAGTTTAAAAAATAGTGAACTTTGTGTCTAATTTATTTTATATAGACTAAAATAAAAGTTTTTTTTATATATATAAAGAAAGTCTAAAACTCAAAAATTAATTTGTTTAAGATCTAAAATATTAATACTGGTTAGTTGTCAAGGAATCTTTTAAAAAAGAGTTCGATATTTTGTATTACATAAAAATTACTTAATGAAGATCATCAAAAAAGACATGTTCCATGACTGCTATTAATAATGTAGTTTAAAGTTTTAGCAATAATTTTGCCAACATGTAGATAAAGAAGATATTGAATTAAAAGTATATTTTCTTGCAATTGAAAATTATTATCAAAATAAAAACAAGTAACACCCAGATACTCTAATCTATTGTGTTCAGTCCATAAATCACAGGTTAGAGAGCATGATATAATATTTTTTCAAATATACTTAATAAAGATTGCTTAGTATTTTGTATACTTTAGAAAGCAATTGTCAACAATATCTTTCATTTAGAAATTTGTATTATAGATTAAATACTGCAATAAAATCTTTGAGGCCTTCATTATTTTAAATACTTATTGATCTTTTATCAAAAATTTGACGAATTTTGCTCTTTTCATAGCTTATATTCAGATTGTTACAGATCATTAGTTAATTTAAAGTTGCGAAGATTGTGATTTTTGTTTTTTCTTTATAAGAACTTTTAGTAATACTATGTCATATTGCTAAATACCCAATATAATTTCTTGATGGACTATCTACTGACCTTATAATATATCTATATAATTTACTTTTATGATTTTTATAAACTTCACTAAACAACTTACAATTGTTTTATAAGGTGGTACAGGTTTATAGTGCTAATAATATGACCAAATCCAACTTTGTCCTAGATGTTTGGCAATAGGAACTAATTTTATTTTTTTTAGATTTGGTAAATTTATATATTATTAGATTTATTTGATAAGATTAAAGATTCTTCATTAATTGGATTATTATCTGTATCAGTTGCAGTAGTGTTATCACTATTAGCCAAGTTATAGTTCTCATTAAATATATTATTGTTATTGCTATTAGCCGAATTATCACATTTAGTTTGAGATAATTCTAAGCTTGATGTGTACCTTATTTTTGCATAATAATGCCCATCTGTGTGTTATTTTGAGTATATGTGCGTTATTTAAAGTACACGCATATGTGTTATTTTGAGACAATAAGTAAATTTTTACTAAATCTGAGTTTCTAAATAATGCGCATACATAAACCTGAGGCCAATTTTTCTAAATAAGGCCCATGTGTGTTGTATATCTTGTGTAATATAGCTATACAATTCGCAAATTTTCAACATCATTCTGTTTCTGATAAAAAATAATACCAAAATCCAGAAAATGGACACTATTTAAAAACGCCTAAAATATGAGTTGTTCTATTATTATGTTATCACACTTGTAACCTACTAACAATATTCAACAAACTGAATTGTGAATTTGTACAAAAAAGCCAGTTATGTAACTATTTTTATTTTTATTCAAATGCTATAATGTTTAATCAAAAAGCTATCAATTCAATTTTATTTAAATAAGGGATTGCATTTAAATTTTTTTTATACTTGTACTTTCATAAAAGGTTTGTTTGCTTGGATTTAATGGAATGATTTTATCTAATAAAAAGGTTTAATTAGAGTAAAATATTTACTCTTTTTACTTATTAGAACCTGATTTATTCATTGCAGCTTTAGGTTAGGGTTGGGGTGAGTGCCCAGTTAAGGTTTGAGTTTAGGTTCAAGGGAAACTTTTGTTAGTCCAAGTGGTTTCTTATGCAAATTCAAAAAAGAACGTCTCTTTTGTATTTATATATTAGTCTTTTATAATGCACATACTGTATATAACATCTTTCTGGAAGTGCTAATTTTTTAAAAGAAAATCAGGAACAGTTACTTTACTCCTTAGAACAATGCCCCTATTCAATTCCTTGTAGCTATGCATTCAATATATGTGTAGCATCTTTTAACCTCAATTAGATATATAATTTCCAGTTTTTTCTTAATGTAATTATAAACATACTAATACTTATGTAACACTACATTATCAATGCAAAAAACAGGTTTGTTAGCAAAATTACATATTTTGAAATCTTCGGTATATATTTTTTTCTTTTTTTCTTTTTAAGAATTTTTTAATTCGTTCTTGTAATTGCTTGCTGCCTTTGAAATATAATTATTATTGCTGACAATGCATTTTCATAAAAAAAAACAACTTGCCATGCTATGAACCAAATAATGCAATAATATTGAAAACTCGTGAAATAGCTTGTAATGCTGGTATATACGTAATTTTTTTTTGTATTACAGATACTTACTGGTATAATATAAAAATGTAATGTTATCATTATTAGTTTCGCATACAAGTTGTTTACTTTGTCTTTGTTTGCAAGTGAACATGAATACAAAACAAAGTTTTACTATTGAATTCAAACTTGAAGTTATCTTGTATGCAGAAACCACCTTGAATTGTAAGGCTTCTTTATATTATAAAGTTGACAGAAGGTGTGTTCAGGAATGGCACAAGCAGAAACAAAAGTTCGAAAATATTAAGAATGATAAAAATTTAAATATAATACAAATACAAGTTCTTGAAGGTCGTGATCATAAGGTGGTATACCCTATATTAGAAAAAGAATTGATAGAGTTTGTCAAAAAGAGAAGAGAAGAAAAAGGAACAGTAATAACATCGATAATTATAAAAAAAGCCAAAAGTTTAAGTGAAACTATAGATATTAGGGGTATGAAGTTTTCCCGTGGTTGGGCTGAATGGTTTAAACAATAAATAAGCTAGTGAAGCATGCTCGAACACAAGTAGTTTAGAAAGCCCTGAAGATATTTCTGTGATCGTCAAAAATTTTCTTAAAATGTCATGTGAAAAACATATGGTATTGAAAAAAAATATATTTTATCATTTGATGAGACTCCTATGTGGTTTGATATGCCACGAGATTTGACAATTGATTTTAAAGGTAGGATGAACGATTTCCATTTTTTGTAGGAATTACTTAACAAATATAGTTAAATCGATTTTCATATGTTTTTACTATTTAATTTGCCTAGATAGTACAAAATTTGCCTAGGTAGTACAATATAAATAACATATGATCATTACCTGATTTCAATTGAATGTTATTGTAAAAAAAAGTAGCAACGTGATTACTATTAAAATGTAGATCACTTCACCCTACACTTAAAGGTACTCGCGAAGTGCCAGTTAAGACTACTGGCAATGAAAAATTATGATTTACAGTAGTTTTAGGTTATACAGCATCTGGGGAGAAACTCCCACCTACAGTAATTTTCAAGTTAAAAATAATCCAAAAGGCAGATTCCTACGAGATATTGTAGTAACAACTACACCTTCTGCATGCATTTGATGATTTCCACATATATTTAATGAGCCATTAGAGCTTGGCCAAATAGATTTTTTAAAAACAAAGGCATAATTTTTTTAGATGCACATCATAGCCATAATTATTATGATGTAACTAGAGCATTGAAGGCAGAAGGCTTAGATGTGTTAGAAATACCCAGGGGTACCACTAGTGTTTTACAACCACCAGACGTCTCTGTTAATAAGCCTTTTAAAAATGAAATGAGAAGTAAATGAGAAGAATGGATGGATAAAGGAAAAAAAAGTATACTAAGAAAGAAAATCTAAAAAAAGCATTATATAAACTTGTGTGTGAATGGATGTCCGAAATATAGAGAGAAATTAGCCCAAATCTTTTAATCAAATCGTTTGAAGCATCTAGACTTGTACTTAATCCAAATGGTAGAAGATGATATGATTTCAGACCACCTCAAAGCTATTGTTGAAAATCATTTGAACGAACTGCCAATTGAAGACACACAAGCAGAAGAGTCGAATCATAATGATAGTGAGCCAGATGATGGTGAGCTAGATGATAGTAAACAGATAATGTTGAAACGGATAATGGTGAAATAAATAATGGTGAAATAGATAATGAGCAGAATGATAATAATCTGGATTATTATGATCTGGATTATTATAATGAAAATATGATGGATATAGATTACTACGGAGAAATATACTGTAATGAGACAATTGAAATTGATTAATAATTGCAATTGACCAATGACCGAATATATAAATTTTTAGAATAAAATTTATACTAGATTCATTCTACTATATTATTTTTCAAAAATATCATAAATACTCTATCGCCATTTTTTTTATAAATTATTAGTTATTTCTGAATCTAGATAATTCATATAGGTAAGCAATTATTGTAGTTTACTCAATTGTTTCTCAATTAGATTTTTAACTAATGATACAACTACTTTAATTATAGTGAACTATATATCTAATTATGTATTACAGTAGCCTATTATCTTAAGTCCAGTTAGTATATAGGCTTTTTTTCAAATGAAATTGGAAATAATTAGCTCTTCGATTTTTTACATTTTGTCCCAAATTGCTTGAGTACTGCCACACAAGAATGTAATAATTGTCTAATACCAATTCTATCGATTATACAAACATTTTGGATTCTCAAATTACACAAATATGGGTTAAGTACTAGCTGTCAATTGTAGTTACTGTGCTTGCTATAATATATCATTTTGTTGTAAGTTGCATTAGTTATAATATACTGCTGATTAAAATTTTGAGGTAAATCCTTTTTATCACTTTGTTTTTTTTTTAATTACAATTTCTTATAAATTTAATTAACAATATTGTGATAACTCTAGCCAACCTTTCCTGTTTTAAAGATAAAATTCTATAAGCTCTTGACGAATATATAATATTTAGTAGCTTAACTGTAACTCTTAGCAATATATGGATTTTAGATATTCACAACATATTAGTGATTAACTGAAAATATTTTAAACCTAATTATAGATCTAACTCTTACTAGACGTATAGCAATTATTAATTTTAACTTATAGGGTATGATAAGAAAGTATAAAGAATCATTTGCAAACTTCATAAAGCATAATAAGAACATATAAAAAAATCATTCGCAGATTAAAGTATGTTATTGTTTTTTAATGTTTTAATGTTTTAATAATATAACTTCTAATTATTTATTTAAAATTTCTGAATTCAAAGAATCTAATAATACAAGTGCTTTGGATGTTTTATATTAAAAATTCGTAGAATAATTTTTTCATCAAACCAACTATATAATAAATATAAGATAAAGTATTATTGTATCTTCCAAAAAAAAAAAATTGAGTTGAAAAGGTATTAATCAACTTTCTGAAATAGAATATTTTAATCAGTAAAAATGAAACTAATTGAAAAAAATGTCAAGTGATAATGGAATTAACATTAAGGTTAAAGAGATTAGTGTAAAGCTTTTATCGGCATTATTAAAATTTATTAAAATAAGGAATAGCAAAATTGAAATAAATAGAAAAAATTAGGTTTAGGCCGCAGATAAAAAACTAGGCTTGTCTATTTGACTTTTTTAGTTAGTCTGAGTTTTTATTCTTAGCACTAAACTTAAGATATAAAACCTTTTTCAATTATGTAAAAAGTTTTTATTAAGTTTAATAAAGATAAGAGCATGGTCTCACCTTTAACATTAAAAAAAAAATAAAATAAATAGAAAAGATTTAATATTGATTTATTTGTTTATAATAAATATAGAAAACTTAGTTATATGTACTTAAAGAAACACTTAGATATAATACATGACAACTTTTATTTGTTTATTAATTAATATTAAAAATATAAATGATTTAGTTATTTTTGCTATATAAAATTATATCAGAGTGTTCAAGGTATTGCAGCTCTAACTTGAGTGTCTAGCTATTTCTAGTATCTAAAAAGCACTGATGATATTACAACAACTAAATCTAAATTCGACTGGAATTGTTTTACTTTAATTCTATAATTATAGAGCAAAAAAAAAAATTTTTATCGAATTTGTTTGGTTGCTTTTATAATATCACCAGTGCTATTTTAGATACTAGAAATAGCTGAACATTCTGCTGCTACATTATTATTATTAAATTATATTCTTAAAGCTAATACCAAATTTTGTTCTTTCAAGATCCTGTAGCATAAAAGTTACTTACCAAATAAGCTTCGTAATATTGTATTCTTTATTTTTAAACAATGCTAAAACCAAATTTTGGTTTACTTCAAGATCTTGCAACATAAAGATTACTTACCAAATAATTTTGTCATATTAAGTAAAGATTCATAAGTCTAAAGTTATAATTTTTTCGAGCTTTTTGCTTGAACATAGCTATTTAAATAATTTGTATAGTAGTATTATCATTATATATAGATGAAATCTAAATTAGAATATAGGATTTTATGATTATTTTATAGGGGTGTGTATTATTTCAGAACACATATGGGCGTTATTTTGAAGTTATATATAAAATTTTTAGGGGTCACAATTTTCTAAATAATGCTCATGAGTGTTATTACATGAAAATATGGTATGTATTGGACAATTTTCATTTTTTTTATCAGGGCTTGAAGAATGAGCAACAATATCTTCATTATCATTAAACATTTTTTACTATAAAAATGTAAAAAATTAATTTCATATTCTTTGGTAGCGATGTATTAATTCATTTTATTTATATTAAAATTTACTTTATTACAGATTTTGAATCTACTCTAATTTATTAAATAATTCAAGGATTTTGAGTATTATTTACCAATATTGGCTATTAATTAGCAATAAATCCTGGTTTTATTAAATTATTTAATTAATTTCTAAATTTGGAACTAATTGTAAAACTAAAACCATTAAACGATTAGATTTATTAAAGATTTTAATTATATAATTCTCTTTAAATTATGTAATATTGTTTTTTTATATAAACTTGAAGTTCTTATAGGTTTTATTCTAACAATGTTTCTATAGATTAGATACAAAATATACTTATAAGAGGTGTGGCAACTTAGTGAAGTGGTCTAGTTGTCACCCTCACCAAACGTTATGGGAAGATCCCATGTTCAAATCCCAGGGACGGCGC